CGAAAAGTTTAAAATTTAATTTAACCAAATGCAGAATAGTATGCAGGCCGTTGGACCTCTCAACTAATTACAATATGGTCAACTTAAATTTTAAAATATAGAATATTTACAGTCACAAGAAAGTGTTCATTGTTAGCTGACATAAGTAAACTACCAATGACAACAAAAGTTTAAAATTTAATTTAACCAAATGCAGAATAGTATGCAGGCCGTTGGACCTCTCAACTAATTACAAAATGGTCAACTTAAATTTTAAATATAGAATATTTACAGTCACAAAAGATTGTTCATTTTAATGGGGGACTTCTTTATCCTTTGTTAGCCGAAATATCACATGATTAGAAAAATACAACACTCTGCGCAATTCAAGTACTAAAGACACGATGCACTCCATAAAGTAAAACCATCTAAGATACAAGCTAAAAAAACAACATGCAGCACATGCTATTGACTAAAACATTAAGTTAGATTGGCCAAATCTAACGAAAGGTTTTAATCAAAAGTCAGTCAGTCTACACTCAACCAGTCAGCTGTGCCAGTTGGGTGAGACTGACTACAGTCCGTTCGCTGCCGCTACTTTTATCCGCGAGCCAGTTGGGAGGGGGTCGGTTGGGAGGTTTACCCTGCTTCGCGGGTAAATTTCCCTACTGTCGGGTAATTCTACCTACTAAGTAAGGAAGTCTCCAACATCACATCATTCAGTGTTGAACCTTCAACGGAGACTGTTCACATATGCTAGCTCTGTTCTGATGTTAACTATGGATAAGCCAAGTACAATCACACAAGATAAACTAAAGAGAATAAAAGAAGATTTAAAGAAATCTACTACTACTAAAACTAGCAATTTTCGCAAGTCAATGTCACTACGTCTAAAGTTTCAGAAGCAAATTAAATTACCACTACATTGGAATGCATCAGGATCAAATTATTCTAATCAATTATCACCTGAAGCCATATGTCAAGAAATGAAGCTTCCTCAACTAGTAAGTCCAATAGAAACAGAAAAAGTAACATTTAAATATCTGTTACAAAACAAACATTATCAATTAGTAGAACAAAGACAAAATGAAAATGGTAAAACATTTATTTTCTTTTATGACAACAAGTTTTTAGAGGTTTGCTTTCCGACACGATTAAATGTGCCAAAGCCTCCTGACGTTGAAGATGGCAAACTAATTTATTTGATTCACACAAGTCAGGACACATGGAATTGGGTATAATTCACTTAAAAAAATCAGTCTTTCTAAAGACTCCATTATATAAACATATTTGAACCACAAAGTCTAATCTGTCAAACTATTTAACAAAATATAAACGATGTTTAATTTTACTTTATTTTTTACGTCACGGTCTCCAGTACCCCTAATACAACACTACTGATGTGTTTTTTTAAGACCAACAAATATTTTCTAACAGGGGGAAAATATATCTACTATTAGGAACATATTTCTGTATAAACATTTTTTAACCGCAAACAGCTAACCTGCGACTATCTAACATAAGATATAAATTAAAATTGGTTTTTACAATACCTTGTGTTGTTGAGTCAATCGAGGTGTAGTATTACGATGGCATCACTGCAAAACGATAGACCCAGGACCGTACAACACTCCGCCGCTATGTCCAAACGCGAACTGTGTGGATACTATCCAAATCTGGGTACAGCTCCGCGAAGGTTGAGTAACAAGGTCGGACATGGCCGCGACCCTGACCAAACTTTCCTCCGTCCAACTAACCCAATTCCGCGGCGACCAGTGAGTCACCCATGCCACACCGCGCCGCGCCCCGCTGACCTTACTAGAATACTACACAGTACTGTTGACTATGAATTTAACTAAATCCATCATTTAATTGTATAAACTGTGTTTTACTCATTAAACAATTAAAACAGTACCCACATACGTCACAAGTGACGTACGATCAAAACCACCTGCTCTTACGTAATTTCCTCCGAATACCCTTTAAACTAATTAACTTTGTAACATCTGCTAACATCTGCCCGACAGCTGTTACGCGCGTTTCCACCAGGTCACCACTACTGGTAACTAATCACTTTCCACTAGATAAATCAAGGGAAAGATAAGAAGAGGAATACAGAAAACTTAAAAGCTGGAGGTACAAATTACAAAATGTTAAGTCAATTAAAGTAAATGACGAAGTATTTATTAATATATTTAACGTAACAATCTACAATTTTGAAACCATATAATATGTTCGTTGTGAAGTGTATTTTCAATGATAAAGAGTAGTCTAAAACTAGTTTAATACTACTGTACTGATATATGTTATTATGTATGTGTGTATTTTTTCGTCGTGATGAAAAATCGTTCATAACTCGTAACGAAAGCTATTTTTCGACACTTGCTCCATTATTCCCGCCTTCGGCTTCGCCCCTATGTGAAATAAGTCTCACATTCTCGGATTTACCTCACACTTGAAACTCAAGCGCGCGTCGGAAAATGCCACTTTCGGTCCTAGTAATGAAATATACTATTGCAATTTTGATAATATTTTGCTAGAGTTAATTTCAAATATAATACAAAGCTATGAGCAAAGGAAAACGCCCCTTTTGAATGTTGACCTTGTTATGATGGCAGATAACTGGGCTCTTTCAATGTTGACTTTGACTTTGATGTTCGAGCAAAGCTGAAGTTTGTTGGCAATTGCAAGTCTGTCCCCAGTGCCTAACGTGCTGTCAGTGTTGTTTATTTATTAATCTAATTACCTACTATTATTGAGTTTAAGGTATTTCTTAGTAAAAACTGTATTAAATCTAAAATGTTGTTGGTTGCAAGACACCGGTGTGAAATTATTTGAATTGAAATTGTACCGATTGTTCCCACTTTGAAATACAATTTAAATTTTAAAATAAAATATTCTTCTTAGGGATTCATTAAATAAAAACTTGTTCAAACAAATATAATAATACTTCGGTTTATTAAATCCTCATTTCCAAATACATTAATTCGTACTAAAATAGAAGTATAAAAATAATAACTCTGAAAACAAACAATTGATTTAATATACTCTAAATTTTTAATATAATATTTTCTTTATAATAATTTATTTACAATATATAATTAAACATAATTGAGCTTTTATGTTTGGGCAAGTTCTAAGGTTTTACTTTTTTTTACAAAAGGTTTTAATTATTTTAAATGATCGCATTGGTTGGCAAGGCAAGATTTATTTAGGTCTAATTATAATTAAAGTACATTTACTCACCCAATTCGGATTTTAAACAAATACGTTTCATAAAAAGGCACAACTGAAAGATTTAACTAATTACAGATTAAACAGCAACGATTACCGAGACACGTGGTCACCGGGCATTTATACACGGAAGATCAGCTGGTAGAGCATTCTGACAAAAGCTGAATTCTGATTGGCTGAAGCCAACCTTGCCTTACCATTGTCTTACTCAACTCGACTTGAAAGTTTTTGAAATATTGTGCAATATTGGTACAAACTCAAATCAATTTAAATGTAGCACTAACTACATTTTCTACTGAGATTCTTGATGCTATTGAATGTTCAGTTATATGTTAACAACTATTTGTTTGCTCAACTATCTTAATAATTTGTGACACGTTGTACAAAACATGCCATTTATTGATTTTGGGTTAGGAATAAAATGAGGAAGGGTTCATTTTAGAGGGGTGTGGGGAGTTGAAGAACATTCCCAATCATCAGACCTACATTTATTTTATAGTTAATGTATTTCAATATAAAAAATATATGAAATTTTCAGTGAACAACGACTTTATTTGAATTAGTTAATAATACCATCGCTGTTTACTTACCATAGTTATCTGGATTCAAATGCATTAAATACTTCGGGAAAACAGTCAATTTAACTGACTAATGTTATAAACACATCCAATAACCTCCCAATCATATTTCTTAAAATTACTACTATAGTAACAGTACTTCTAAGACTAGTGCTTTTTGACCACGAGAACAATTCAAACTCATTCTATCATCACTGATATTAATTAACGAAGTATGAAGTTGTGGGTGGAGGTATCGAAGTAGTTAGTTTGATAAACTGGCTTTAAAGAGATAATTTCCTTTTCTAATTTTAATTAAATGAGCAATCTAACTACTTTTAAAAGATCTGTCAAACTACTTCAGGATAATAATTTTTTTGCCACTGAACATTAGGATGTAGGCCTTGTAGTTTTAATGAAATTATTACTATGAGTTTTTCTACAAACCAGATATATTTATTACTATAGGCTGCACCCGTCTAAATCGACGGTTGCATTCAAGGCTTACGCTAATTCATCCAACCACAATAAATAGAGTGAAATTATACACATTTTTGAGCATTTAGCATTGTTTAGTGAGTAATACTTTAGTGGCACAAATATGTATTTTACAAAAATTTAAAATATTCAAAGTTGTATTTGATAGAACCTTGAATAAAATGTATAAATAATATATCTTTAATAATAGTTTGATGCATTCAAATATATATTTAAAATATTACCAAATAGCAATGCAAAATATCAATTAAATATAGGTTTTGAATATATAAAATGGATTCATAATATATATTGATAAAATAAGTATAGTATCTATAATATACATATTTTATACATTCATGTAAAGTTTGAATGTTTAAGATGAAGCATATCATCGATTTACTGTATACATTAATAAACGTTTTCTGTGAATGTTCAGTTTGGTTTAATGTTCAGCCATAAATTAATAAACCCGAAAGTTAAGTTAGGCCTGATGGACATCTGGCCGAGAAGAATACCTCAATTACAAAACCATTTTCCTAAAAAATCCGCTGCCTTAGAATTATGCCTCTTAAAAGCATACAAAATGAGATTTGAGGCTATTTGGACTCCGTCTGTTTATGCTATGATGTAGCAGACGACAGGCCGCTCTCATGAAATGAAATGAACGAAATGGACGAAATGAACGACATGAACGAAGTGAACGAAACGAACGAAATGAAAAAAATGAATGGAATGAATTAAATGAATGGAATGAATGGAATGAATGAAATGAATGAAATGAATGAAATGAATGAAATGAATGAAATGAATGAAATGAATGAAATGAATGGAATGAATGGAATGAATGGAATGAATGGAATGAATGAAATGAATGAAATGAATGAAATGAATGAAATGAATGAAATGAATGAAATGAATGAAATGAATGAAATTAATGAAATGAATGAAATGAATGAAATGAAAGAAATGGACGAAATGGACGAAATGGACGAAATGGACGAAATGGACGAAATGGACGAAATGAACGAAATTAACGAAATGAACGAAATAACCGAAATGAACGAAATGAACGAAATGAACGAAGTGAACGAAATGAACGAAATGAACGAAATGAAAGAAATGAACGAAATGAACGAAATGAAAGAAATGAAAGAAATGAACGAAATGAATGAAATGAAAGAAATTAACAAAATGAACGAAATGAACGAAATGAAAGAAATGAATGGAATGAAAGAAATGAACGAAATGAATAAAATGAACGAAGTGAACTAAATGAACGAAATGAACGAAATGAACGAAATGAACGAAATGGACGAAATGAACGAAATGAACGAAATAACTGAAATGAACTAAATGAACGAAGTGAACGAAATGAACGAAATGAACGAAATGAAAGAAATGAACGAAATGAACAAAATTATTTGAAAACTGATTAGTATAAGATATTATAAAGTGTTCAGATAAAAAACCAAAGATACTTTTTGAATACTATACAATAATGAATAGTATAATGTTACGTTTAATTGTAATGTCATACCATACTCATAACTTACATCCTTGTATTAGTCAGTTCTGTAACGTACTCGGTCACTCCATTCTGGCCTTCAACTTCGGTCTTCGGTAACGAAGTTATACAATGGCGTTACTGTCACTCAGACCCAGACAGCCAGTGTCACTTCACTGTGTAACTGCGGTGCCCGTTCCGAACCAGCAAAGAGTTACAGAGTTGAGTACACAGTGACAGTAACGTATTTTTGTAACTGCAGTGCACGTTCCGAGCAAGTTTAGAGTGCCCGGAGCACGTTACGTTACAAGTTCCAAAAATTATAGGGAGTCTGATGTAACCTATTATGGTCGTAACAGTTACATTTCAGTAATATGGTTACTTATCCTATTACGTTAAATAACGACCGACCATCTCTACTTGTACTTTTTTTTACTAGTTTGATAGTGTGATAGATAATGGCGGAATGGCGCTGGCGCTGGCGCAATTGTAGAACACTATAACAGCCTAATAGCCTAAATGGTTGAATATTTAATTAGGAATATTATTAGTATTAGTGTTAAATAACAATGTATTGTGATGATGTGGGCATGGGCAGCCTAATATTGAACCGGTGTTTTAAAGAATCTGCAGTGTCCGTTTTTTAATATGATAGGCCTAGGCCAAGGCCTAGTTTAATTTTCCAAAACTAGCCTAGATAACAGTTTAAATTAGGATCAAAGTAAAAAGGTTTGAAGGGCTGGAAGCTGTAATGTTTACTTAAGTTAGTACCAAATAAATTATTGTCTAAGCCTACTAAGAGTGGCGGGGATTGAATTCTTATTATAAAAAATGGAACATTTATGCAGGCTTTGCGGGTCCGAAGAAGGGATCAAAGTAGACATTTTTGAACATGGATCTGATCGTGCAAAGAAGATCAACAACGTTTTGCCTGTTACTGTGAGTTTACTTTAAGAATTTTTGATATGTGTAAAAAGCCATCCATAGACTTGGCAGTTAAGAGAATAGGCACCCCTAAGTTAAATACAAGTTGCCAGCCTATGGCCTATTTTGAATAGAAGTAGGCCTAGCTAAAGTTAAGCTATCTCTAACTTAAATCAGATGACTGCTTGTCATTAACTTAGCATAGGCTAGGGATGAGCATTGATAGGGGGTACACTTCCATATCTGTTGGCACAAACAACCGGATGAGTAGCCTAGGCCTAATTGATAATTCAATCCAATCGTTTAGTTAGTTAGGTTAGGTTAACCTTACCTAACTAACCAAATTGGTGTGAACCTGGCAATAACTAGTGCAGGCGCCATAAAAAATCTATTGTTGGCCATTTTGTGAAAAAATACGGCCACGAAACATATTACCGATCATGTCTACAGATAGAGGACACTTTAACGGACACGACAGTATCAACATCATGTACCTGGCGAGTAAGTTAGGGGGGGGGGGTAAAATCAGCAATAAGTAGTGCGCGCGAAATGTATCGCGGACGTATTTTTCCACAAAACAGCCAGCAATAGATTTTTTAAGGCGCCACAACACCTCAAACTCCAAACGTTCTGCAGAGAACATGCATTATATCAGAATAATATCATGGTAATTAAGTTATCCATAATGTACTTAGCCTAATAATATGACCAGTGGGAACCTAGGCTAAGATGTTGTTGGCTTTTGATCAGCGGAGGAATTTTGTTGAGTTTGTGGGAATGATCAGTCCGGACCAATCATCTGTACTTTTGTTGTTATTATTTATTCGGAAGTTGATAAGTTATGTACCCTACGGTTTTGTTCTTATTGATAATGAGGTTTATATTTTCACAGGCTGTTGTTGCTTGATCAATTGTTGATTTTATTAAATTAATATTGTCTGCTTGACGATTTGTTGGAACAACAACAGTGGTGTCGTCGGCGAAAAGTATAGGTACATTTTAGGTCACTGTCAAAACTAAAGGGGAGGCTGTTTATGTACCTATATGATGAAGAGGAAGGGGCCCAATATGGATCATTGGGGAATTCCTCTTGATATTGTTCTAAGAGATGATTTGGTGGTGTAAATGGTGTTATGGTGTTGACTTTCAATTTCTACATATTGGCATCTGACTGTCAGATAACTGTTATCCATTCTAGGGATTTGCCTTGGATATCTACATGCTGATTAATTTAGTTCTGAGGATATCCCAATCAAGAGTGTTGAATGCTTTCTGTAGATCAAGGAAGATTCCAGTGGCATTTTTTCTTTCTTCCCAGATATCGGTGATGTGAGTGACTAATTTTGAGATTGCAGTAGGCCTAGTGGTGCTGAGGGTCTTTCTGAAGCCATGTTGGCATACGGAGAGGAGGTTGATGGAGTCCAGGTGCGTAATAATTTGATTGTATATTGCTGCTAGGAGTTTGGAGATAACCCGCAGATTAGGAATTGGCTTATATTTGTTTAAGGGTCTCTAGCTTAACCTTTCTTATATATCAGATGAGTTTTAGCAATTTTGAGTTTTTTTGGGAGGAATTTTGGCCTGTAATATTTACTCATTTATTATATAGGCTAGGCCTATCTAATTGGTTTCCTTAATTCTTCCTGGCAAAATTTCAACATTTTTCCTGTTATTGTGTCAAAGCCTGATGAGTTATTTGCCTTTAGGCTCTTGAAAGATTGTCCAGTTCTTTTCAGTTATGGAATGAAAGGTATGCAATACTGGTATTTCATTGGTGTGGTCAGGCATTTGTATCTGAAGTTCTATCCAGGTTTGGAGTGGAGAGGGCAAATTGGGTAAAACTAGTCAACGTTCTAAAAAAAATATTATTTTTCCAAAACGTTCGTTTTTTAGTGCTGATTCCAAAAATGATGATTAATTTTTTGCGGAAACGTCCCGTTTTCCCAGAAAACAGGAAAAACGGGAAAAATCTTTTTTTGCTCAAAAGCCATGTTGTAGGTACTAAAATTGTGCGGAATTTCCTCCTGAATAAGAATAGCCTATGTAATGTTTATTACTATCAAGTCAAATATCACCGGAAAAGCAGCCACATAGCGCTAGCATTGAGGGTGACTCTAAGCCATTGTAGAATGCAGGCTTTATTTTGGGTTAGGATTAATTAGTTAGGTTAGGTTAAGTTAGTTTAGGTTAGGTTTTGGGTAAGTTAGGTTAGGTTAGGTTTTGGGTAAGTCAGGCTAGGTTAGTTTATCAATAACATGAGTTACCAAACCTAACCTAAAATAAAGCCCGCATTCCACAATTTTAGGTTCGTTTACTTACAATTCTCATGTTATTGATAAACTAACCTAATCTAACCTAGCCAAACCAAACTCAACCTAACCTAACCTAACCAAACTGAACCTAACCTAACCGAACCTAAACCAACCTAACCTAACCAAACTTAACTTAACCTAACCTAACCAATCCTAACCCAAAAAAAAGCCCCCATTCTACAATGGCTTAGAGTCACCCGCAATGCTAGTGCTATGCGGCGGTATATAAGTAGCCAGCGGCCTCTTTTCCGGCAATATTTTACTTAATATTAGATATTCTTGTTCAGGAGGAAATTCCGCACAATTTGAGTACCGGTACCCACAACATGGCTTTTGAGCAAAAAAAGATTTTTTCCGTTTTTCCCAGTTTCCGGGAAAACGGGATGTTTCCGCAAAAAATTAATATCATTTTTGGAATCAGCACTAAAAAACGAACATATTCGAAAAAATATATTTTTTTAGAACGTTGACTGGAATTCTATAGTTTTACCGCAAAGGTATTGTTAAAAATATTACAGATGTGGTAATGATCGGAAATGGTTTCATTGTTAATATGTAGGGTGATGTTGCTTTTTCTTGCAGTTGTTTTATTGCGTTCTGTATTGATGATATTCCAGATTTCTTTGCTCTTATTATATCAGCTTTACGCATTCAGTTTTGATTGTGCATTTTTCTGTTATTTATGATATCACGATCATGTGCTGCCTTGTGCTGTAAAAAATTTACTTTATCCTGGATCAGACCAGGAGTTGGTAGGCTATCTATCCTGCGCCTCTTGTAGATTGCCTCATAGGGTGTAGGTGTGGTCATTCCAAATACTGTAGGCCTACTATTAAATAGTATTTTTGTTGTCTTAGGCATGGTTTCATAAAAAATAAGTTGAAAATTTGTTAGAAAATTGTTGTAGGTGTTGTCTATTGTTGTTTCCCTACTCATACTGCTCCAATCAATCTTGTGCAATTTTTTTTTTTTTTTTAGTCTATTTAAATTTTTATTTGGATAGCTTCATATAGATTTGTATGTAGCACCAGAGTATTCCAATTTATAATAACTAATAATTTCACAGGTTTGGAGGTGATGGTCTGATATCATGTTGTTATGCGTGTTTACCTTGATATTTGCTCTTTGCTCTTTGGATATTTGTGTAGCATCCGTCAATGCTACTGACTGTAGTAGGCGTGACTCGTGTGGCTGAAAGGGAATAGGCATAGCATCTATGTTGAAGTAATAAGTCGTTGAGTTCTTTTACGCGTGGGTCCGGGTCGTCAGCTCTCAGAATATTAAAATTTGTGTCACCTAAGATGACATTTTGCTTTTAGTTTTACTACGGTAGGCCTATATGAAGCAGAAATTTTTTAAGTTTGTTGATGAAGCTATCAGTGCTTGCCACTCCCATTGTGGCTGTTTTGGTGTGTTTTAGGCCTAATTTACAGCATAGGGTACCTAGGTACTCTTTGCTTGTTGTTTACCTAAGCTCAGTGGCGGCTGGTCCATAAGGACTCTGGGACGGAGTCCTCCCATTTTCAACAAAATAGTAAAAAAATAATAATAACATACTTAAAAATAATTTGTAATCCTACATTCAATGTACATAAACGTCAGTAGAGTCAATG